CTTCATCTTTGCCTCACCAAATCCAGAAACGGGCTGGATCAGAGGGTTACATACTCATTGCTCAGTTACTTCAGTTCCTAGGATACTGTAAATATATAATCTCCTTATAATACTCTGATCAGGAAGCTTAATTGATGTAGAGTTTGGAGGCACTGAAAATGTACCTTGTGTGCTTTGCAGAGTTTTTTAGTCTAAAGTAGCATAACTAGTTACCCCAAACTTAATAGTATAATAGTATAAACAACTGCTTACTGTCTTCATAGATTGTGTGGATCAGAAATTCAGACTGTGATGCTTCATGATGTCCGGGGGCCTCAACTAGAAGATTCAGGGGTGCTAGGGTGCCTCAGTGAGTTAAGCATTTGACTCTTGATCTTGGCTCAGGTCATCGTCTCACAGTTATGAGATTGAGCCCTGCATCCAGTTCTGGGCTGACAGTGGGGAGCCTGCTTGGGATTCTCTCTCTCTCACTCTCTCTGCCCCTCCCCGACTTGTTCCCTCTTTCTCTCCCTCTCATTCTCTCCCTCTCTGTCTCAAAAAGAAATATAAATAAGCATTTTTCTTTTAAAATAAGACTCAAAGGCTGGAGACTAGAACAATCTGAAAGCTTGCTCATTCATCTGTGTGGTAGTTTGTGCTGGCTGTCAGCTAGGGGAGGAGGGAGCTGAGTTTTTCCTCCATGTGTTCTCTCTGTTTGGACTAGTTTGGGGTTCCTTACAGCATGGTAGCTGGCTCCCCCCAGAGAAAGCTTCCTCAAAGAGGCAGAGAGCCAGGAAAAAATGACATCCTTCTAATGATTTAGTCAGGAAGTCCCATACCATCCCTTCTTCTATACTTTATTAGAACAATCACAACGCCTGCTGAGATCCACAGGGAGAATCTGATAAGTCGCTGGAGAGCCAGGGGACCTTAGCTACTGTTGTGGACAATTTTGGAAAATATAATCCGTGACACCAGTGAGTGAGACCAAGCAAAATGGCTATTTCCACGATATAGAAGAAAAAACATTTTTTGGTGAGCGTCCTTCTTAATGTCCTAGGATAGTGCCAGGAACTAAACAGTGAATTCTAAAAATATTTGGTGGAGATGAATTCATCAGTAGCAGACCAGAATTCTGAGATAATGAAAGGCTCATTTCATTTACCTGAGTCCTTAAAACCAGCTGCTATGGTTCCTAAGTTTGTGGGAAATGGAGTTGAAAACTGCTGTTTTAGGAAGAAAAATGACCTGCACGTAGAAGACATTTTATTTCTATTGGTAGACAAGAAACTCAAATAGGACACCTTCCCAAACTGCAGTCACTAGAGTAACTTCCACTTGCAGCAAAATCTAAATAAAAATGTCCCAGATCAGGAATCAGACCATGAGACCTAATTCTATCAATTATTAGCTGTATGACATAAGGCAAGTGACTTTTCCCACTTGTACCATGGAAATGATGGTTCAGCTTTGTGAGGTTACTGTGAGATGAGAAGCAATAACATGAAATGCAATACACAGACAGGGACCTTTAAAGGAATAGACATATAAGACAAAATCCCATTGTACGGCCTATAATAGTAAAGACTTTAGGAAGAGAATTCTATGTGATCATGAAAGCAAGGAGCTGGACACAGGAATGAGTGCCTTGATGTAACATGGTTAATACAGATCATTTGTAAAGATTTGATCAGTTGCAGAAACTTAAGAGAAGTTTATGATTCTTATAGGAAAACCATTTTCCAAGGCTGAGATCATGATTTTAAGTCAAGGACAGGTGAAGCAGACCAGCAGCTTCCTGATGCATCTACAGGAAATACCAAAGAAAAAAATCAAAACAAAGCAGGTTGCATTCCACTAAGAAGCCTCATGATTTAACAAGATTATTAATAGAATGTTTGGTTGTCAGCAAAGCTGAGGGAGTGAGTTTATTGGCAAGTTTGATCGACAGGTCCATCATTCAGTAGAAAAGGCCACTTGGCTTCCCAAAGTGGCTGTACAAATTTATGTCGTCTCCATCCCCACCTCCACCCACTCCACAATATGCAAGAGATTCTGTGGATTCACATCCTTTCTGCTTCTTGGGATTGTCATGGGTTCTTTTAAATTGTTTTCCAACACAGTGGAAATTAGTAAATTAGAATCTTGTTGAGGTTTTGATTTGTATTTCTTGATAACTTACACATTTGAGTATTTTTTCATGTTTATTGGCTGTTTATGTTTCCTCTAATATAAAATTCCTATCTACTTCTTTTACCCAATTTTATTTAAAAATGTTTTTATTACCTAATTTTCTATGAAGTTGTTTATGTGCACTGCTTCATGGGAATTACTTATAGGTTCTTGAGACTGATCCTTTGCCCCTTGTATGTATTGTGAATATCTTCTCCCAGTCAATACCCTGAGGGGCAAAAGAACTGAGCTCAGTCAGCCCCTGAAATCATGAGAAGTAGCAAACAATTGTCGCTCGTCAGTAGTAGTTTATAACACAGCAACAGAGAATTAAAATAATTTTATTTTGTTATTATTTTAAAAATCCATTTTAATGTATATTTTATGCCCAAAATTTCCTTACATATCATTTTTATCTTTTTTTTTTTTTTAGCTGATCAATCTTCCCACAGTTTTATCTATTTTGTTCACCTTTTAAAGACCACGGGGCGCCTGGGTGGCTTAGTCGGTTAAGCGTCCGACTTTCGCTTAGGTCATGATCTCGCGGTTCGTGGGTTCAAGCCCCGCGTCGGGCTCTGTGCTGACTGCCGGCTCAGAGCCTGGAGCCTGTTTCAATCTGTGACTCCCTCTCTCTCTGACCCTCCCCTGCTCACGCTGTCTCTCTCTCTCTCCTAGAAATAAATAAAACATTAAAAAAAAAAAAAAAGACCAAACTTTTGGGAGATTTGTGGCTCAGTGGATGAGTTTCTGACAGAGCTCTGAGATAATTCTGGCTCAGGTCATGATCTCATGATCTGTGAGTTCAAGCCCTGTGTCCAGCTCTCTGCACTGTTAGTGCCTGGGATTCTCTCTCTGTCCCTCTCTCTGTCCTTCCCCTTCCCCCTCACTATTTTTGCTTTTTTTTCCAGTTTTATTAATTTTCACTCTTTTTAAAAAAAAAAAAAGGATTTAATTTCTTCTATGTAGTTTGGGGGAACTTCTATTGCTTTTCCTTTGGCTTCTTAGGATGGGGCATTTAACTCTAATTTTAAGGTTTCCTCTCTTCTGATGTGAAGATTTAAACATACAAATTAGACTCAGAACACTGCTTTTGTTGCATCCCATGAGTTTTGATGTCATATTTTATTATTATCCAATTTTATACATTTAGGTAATTCTTCTATAAGACTCCACTCTTGAGTTTTTATCATTTATCCACTCTCTGCACCCATCTTAGCTCTGTCTGAAACAAGTTAGAAGGGTTGCTACTGGCATCTAGTGGGTAGAGTCCAGCATGCTGCTAAACATGCTTCCGTGCTCAAAACAGTACCTCTCCACTCTGCCAACAAATAATTACCTGGCCCAAAATGTCAATAGTGCCAAGGCTTAGGAACACTAATTGATACCAACATATAAAAGTAATTAACAAACATTGTTGCCTTCATTTATCTTTGTCCCTTGTTATGAATCAGGCATCTCTTCAGAGAATATAAGATAAAACTCAAATACGGTGCTTTGTAGAGACTGTGGATGGCTCAAAGGTAAAATTCCCATGGTGTGGTTAGCTCACTTCCAGGTACTATGTCCATACTTAATATCCTTGGTAATGTTCTGGATATGAGAAAAAGTGGGCTGGAAGTTTAGAGGTACATGAAATATGGCTGAGGCTATGATTTTGCCCAATCTCTTTTATATGTTCCACACTACATGTGGCCAGATGAAAAAAGACCATGCCAGAATGCCATCTCCTAACATCAAACAACAGGAATCTTTACATAGGCCTTAGGCTACAATATGCTGGGACCCTGCCAGCAATATTAATGGATGCTTAAACATTCTGGGTGGCTCTTAAAACCTGCCTACTGCCCTTACATGTGCAAGTGGTCACTGAGCTTTTGGGAATAGGTGGGAAAATACATTTGTCAACAGAAAAATCATTTGCACACAGAAAGGTTTATCTTCGGTAATACACATGCCATTCAAGGAAAACACCTTTCCAAGGCACAGACCACTGTTTTTCTTTTTTTTTTTTCCCCCAGCAACTATTTTTATTTTTTTTAATTTTCTAATTACATTTTTTTTTTTTTTTTTTTTTTACAAATAGTTTATTGTCAGGTTGGTTTCCATATAATACCCAGTGCTCATCCCCACAAGTTTTCTTGTACATTGCAAATGTAAGACCCTGGAGCTAGGATTAGAGGCTATAGCCCTTGACCAGATCCTGTCCGTAACTAGCCAAGTGGCCATTATTCATCTGTAAAAGGGAGGTAATTGTCCTAGTTCTACCAGCTTAGAGGTCATTGTCAGGCTTAGGATAGAAAATACTTATGAAATGAACTATTAATGTTGGGCACTAAAATAAATGGGGTACCAAAAGTAAAATCATAATATAGGCTGGAAGATAGCAAAGACTTTATTCGGAAGGAACCAGAAAAGCTTCCCCATGTCTGGAAAGACAACGCAGAGTAATTATGAAAGGCAGAAGTAAGAGAGAAGAAGTATATAAAAATGATTATAATGAAATAGCAAACAAGGAAGAAACAAAAAAAAAATCATAAATTGGTACTTCATGATACTGAGAGGGAAAGTGGTGATCATTTTGCAAGGCTGTCACAATGACTGCAGGTCAAGGAGAAAGAATGCCTACAGCTATCAGAGATTAACAGCAAATAAAGATGGATAAAAGACTGAAATTCTTTGCAGCAACATGCATACTGGCAGAGCCTTTTCATCAAGACTATGACTAATAAAGGTGGTGGCAGCATGCTGGATGCCAATGAAGAAGCCTGGTAGTAGACTTTGGGGCAGTAATTGGAGAACGATGATCAAGAGGACTTTGGTCTTTGTCACACAATGATTTAGTATGTGGATCAACAGCATAAAGGCTGGCACCAGCTGGACACAGAGCAAGGGCGGAAGCAGTTGGTTCTATAGCAGGTAGTGTAGCAATGGGTTGGGCGGCAGCAGGGCTGACAACAGTTGGACCCACAGTCATGGGGCCAACAGCAGGTGGTCCTCTAGCACGTGGTTTGACAGCAAATAGGGCAGCAGCAAGGCTGGCAGCTGCTGGATCCACAGTAGCTGGACCCACTACAGGTTTGTCCACAGCCACTGGGTCCACAGCAGTCGGGCTGGCAGCAGCTAGACCCGCAGTAGCTTGGCTGGCAGCAGGTGGTTCTACAGCAGGTGGTTTGACAGCAAGCTGGGTTGCAGCAAGGCTGGCAGCAGCTGGAGCCACAGCCACTGGACTCACAGCACGTGGTCTGACAGCAGGTGGTCCTGCAGCACATAGACTGGTGGCAAGGGGAGCAGCATGAGTGGGTCATAATGTCACCGGGGAAGGGTGGGCTCCTGTTGAGAGGTGAGTTTCTCATGTTCTGGTGTCTTCTCCTGTTCTGGGGATTTTATGCATAGGACCCTGAAGTTTGGACCAATGGGTAGGACTTTCCTTATCGGTATTTACATGGTATTCCATAGTCACTGGAAGCTTGTAAAAGAGGAAGTTCCACAAATTTCAGGAATCTTTAGAAAATAAATGTTTAATGGGTTTCCTATTTGAGAATAACTCATAGAAACATTTTCAGATAAAAAGAAAGTGGTCACATCAGCAGTGTCATTCTTGCTTCAATGATCATCAGATCATGTATTCAAGTTCTTGCTGGTCTGGGTAGGGTCAGAGCAGTGGTCTCTCCCCAGCTTTGTTTCTTAGGTTGCATGTAGACTGAGAGTTTCTCCCTTGGGTGGGGGAGCATGATGCTGATATATTCACAGGGATGAGCTGAATTCATGCCTGAGCCCAAATCTCTTTCCCCACAAAGCCTGATTCAAGACTCCCACAGGCATATCTGTCTCTTGTAGCAGCCTATCCCACCTGCATATCCCAGCTCAACCAAAGGCCTGTGGGTAGAGGATGTCTGACATTGTCTCTTCCATATGGCAAGGCACAACCAAAAGAGGTGGGTAGAAGTGACCACAGTACCTGGGACTAAGCAAGTATCAGTCAATGTACATCTTTGTTGACCAGTACTGCTGATTTGCCTGACTGAAGGCTTTTACAAGATGTAAGATTTTCAGTGGTGTATCTGGGGCAGTATGAGCAAACCAAGTAAGTTGGTGACTCTAGTCCTAACCTTGTTAACTAGCCTAGTCAAGGGCTTTGTTGCTGACTACATCTTTATTGTGCTGAATTGTTTTTAATTCTTAATTTTGTTGTTTCCTTCATTCCTCCCTCCTTCCCTCCCTCCTTCTCATCCTTTGTTTCTTCCTTTTTTCTTTCTTTTTCTACTATGTCTGTCTTTCTCTTTCTCTGTCTTATTTTTTCTTCTTTTTTCCCTCATTTGTTCATTTTTTCATTCATTACTTCCTTCCCTCTTTCCTTCCTCCTTTTCAATTCCTCTTGCTATTGCTGCTCTGATTTCTCTTCAGTCTTATTTTTCTTCTAGATATTGTGTCTGTCCACCAGTCTGATGAACAAAATATTGGAGTGACTGGTGAAAACCATAGATTGTCTATGATATCTTGAATATAACTGCCATATCTCATAGATCTAAGTGTGTTAGATCTGCATCTCTGTGCCTAAGGGCTGTTTTCATGCAACAGCAGAATGCCATGCTTCTTACGTGTACCACACTGAGAGAAATGCTCAACCAATGATTCTGGAGAGTTGGTTTATAAAGACTTCAGCTCCCTCATTGCTATTAGAAGAATCCCAATGTGTTTGTGTGTTACATCATCTCTGATATATTTCTCAGGTTTAAGATTTACGTGCAAACTGTGACAGTGGCCTTAAAGTGCCCCTCTCTGTGTCACTTCCCCATACTCTTACCAGTGTGATCTGACCTCCCCAGAGTAGGTTCCTGGAGAAACCCAACTCTGATATTACTTTACCCTTCTCAATCCTGATTTCCTCAGCTCTACAATGGGAAACTTAATACCTATGTTGAAAATTTCTTCGAGAATTAAAGATATTCCTGATTTAATGCAATCCCAATCAAAATACAAATGGCATTATTTTGCACAGAGCTAGAACAAATAATCCTAATTTTTATGGAACCACAAAAGATCTCAAATAGCCAAAGTTATTTGAAAAAGCAAAGCAAAGCTGGAGGTATTCCAATTCATGACAAAGCTGTAATAATCCAAACAGTATGGGACTGGCACAAAATAGACACACAGACCAGTGGAACTGAATAGAAAATCAAAAAATAAACCAATAATTATATGGTCAATTAATCTTTGACAAAGGAGGCAAGAATATGCAACGGGAAAAAAACAGTCTCTTTAACAAATGGTGTTGGAAAAACTGGACAGCTACAAGTGAAAAGAATGAAACTAGACCACTTTCTTACACCATACACAAAAATAAATTCTAAACGGATTAAAGACCTAAATGTGAGATCTGAAACCATAAAAATTCTGGAAGACAGCACAGGCAGTAATGTCTCTGGTACTGATCATAGCAATTTTTTTCTAGATAGGTCTCCTGAAGCCAGGGAAATAAAGCAAAAGTAATCTATCAGGATTACATCAAAATAAAAAGTGTCTGCATAACCAAGGAAACAATTGACAAAACTAAAGGCAATCTACTAAATGGGAGAAGAATTTGTAACTGACATATCCGAAAAGGGTCAGTATTCAAATTATATAAGGAACTTACACAACTCCACACCTCCAAAAAAAAATAATAATAATAATAACCCAATTAAATAATGGGCAGAAGACATGAACAGAAATTTCTCCAAAGAAGACCAATAGATGGCCAACAGACACATGGAAAGTTGCTCAACATAACTCATCATCAGGGAAATGCAAATCAAAATTATAATGAGATATAGCACCTCACACCTGTCAGAATGGCTACAACCAACAACAGAAAAACAACAGTTGTTGGTGATGATGTGGAGAAAGGAAACTCTCCTGTACTACTGGTGCATCCATTGTGGAAAACAGTATGGAGTTTCCTCAGAAAGTTAAAAATAGACCTACCCTATGATCCAGTAATTGCACTACTACGTATTTACCACTAAAATAGAAAAATGCTAATGCAAAGGGATACATGCAACCTATGTTTATAGCAGCGTTATTTATAATAGCCAATATTGTAAATATCACAACTTTTTTATTTTTTTTTATTTTTATTTTTACAAATAGTTTATTGTCAAGTTGGTTTCCATATAACAACTATCACAACTATCACAACTCCTAAGAACGACCACCTTGTTTTCTCTTTTTCTTCCTCACATTCTTCTCATCTCCCCGGAACAGGCATCTTTATTTCCCTCAAATGCCTCATAGTTCCTACAAAATAATGGAGGGTGTTCTGTTCCCATAAATGGTTCAGAGCTCATGGTTTACTTGAAGTCATATATGCCCATTGCACAGACTCTCAGTGCCTGATACTGTCCTTCCTTAATTGTCTTGGTAACATTTTGATCACAATAACAAATTGCCCTACAGTTGGGGAGCATAATACATTCAGTATAAAATTATCTTATACCTTTTTACTCTGCCATTAGGTCCTGAGGACCATGAGGCCATTCAAGAATATGATTTCCACAAGTGTGTTCAGCTGCATCTGTTGCTCACGAGGACACCACATGCTCACCTGTATCTGATGCAGAGGAGAGTTGGGGGGCTGGATGGCACCTGAGGCAGCAAAAGGATCCAGTGTTCACAAGAGCTCTAAAGGGCAGGTCCCACTCGTTCCACATGAGGCTGCTGAGGACTGAACTGTAGGATGCTGATGTCTACAACTTTGTGCCAGATGTCACCTGCATATACAGAAGAATATTACTTGTGTGGTCAAAGAAGACACTCAAATGAACATCTTGCTGGTGCTCAGTCCCAGGATGTTTTCTAACTTGTCTGGAGATATGAATGAAAGTGTCCTTCAGCAAGGCAGAAGACACAGTCTGGGACCTGAGTCTGTCCATGTCAGGTATATGACATTCCACTATGAAATTTCCTCATCTGAAAATGGAGATAATAATCAGTGGAGGACTGTATGAGGCTCCAGGTAGATATTGCATGTGATATGAAACCTGTGTATAAATCCTTACATTGGGAATGCCATACAAGGAAACAAACATCATATGGGATGCATAATGGAACAGGATTTATTAGGAAATATAAGTGAGACCCTCTGCATCTAGGAGAACTTCAAAGTGATCATGCAAAGAAGAAAGCAAGATACAAGGACCATGAATACACTGAGAAAGAAAACATAATTTGAAGATTTACAGTAGTTGCAGACACCTATGTATGAATCATAAGGATCTCTTTCTCTGTTACTTATAGGGAGAGGGTGAAGATCTTGAATGTGGAGTTAAGGCAGAGCTCATGACTCAGTATCAGGATGCATGAAGTTAGCACATGACCCATAAGATGATGGAAGAAGAGAATCAAGAAGTGATCCACACTTATCAAACTGATTCACAAGCTTGTACACAGGCAGATGAATGAGAGAAATGCTGGTGATTGCATGATGGCTTTCAACAATGTTTGGCAGTTACTTTGTTTTCTAAATGGCAAACTATGCTGTGTGGAGACAGTGGTTCTTAGCAAGGCAATCAGCAGCAGGGAGGCTGGCAGCAGCTAGCCACACAGCAAGGGCGGCAGCAGGTGGTTCTACAGCAGGTGACTTGACAGCAAGTTGGGCAGCAGCAAGGCTGGCAGCAGCTGGATCCACAGCAGGTTTGTCCACAGCCACTGGACCCACAGCATGTAGGCTGTCAGCAGGTGGTCCTGTAGCAGGTGATTTGGCAGCACGTTGGGTGGCAGCAAAGCTTGCAACAGCTGGACCCACAGCCACTGGACCCACAGCATGTCGGTTGGCAGCAGATGGTCCGGCAACAGGTGGTCCTGCAGCACGTAGGCTGGCAGCAAGAGTGGCAGCACAAGTGGGTCATGGTGTCACAGGTGAAGGGTGGACTCTCAGAGGTGAGTTTCTCAGGTTCTGATGCCTCCTTCTCTTCCGGGATTTTATGCACTGGACTCTCTGAAGTAGGACCAATGAGTAGGACTTTCCTTGTTGTTTACACTGTTTTCCATAGTCACTGGGGGGCTTGTAGAAGAGGAAGTTCCATAAATGATAGGAATCTTTAGAAAATAAGTGTTTAATGTGTTTTCTATTTGAGAATAACTCATAGAAACATTTTCAGATGAAAGGAAGGTGGCCACATCAGCAACATCATTCTTACTTCAATGATCATCAGATCATGTGTTCATTTCCAGTTTGACGGGGTAGTGTCAGAGCAGAGGTCCCTCCCCAGCTTTGGTCCTTAGGTTGTATGTGGATTGGGAGTATTCCTGGGGAGAGGGACCCGATGCTGATATGCTCACTGGGACAAATTTGGTAGATCTTTGAGCGCAGGTCTGTTTCCCCACAAAAGCCTGATTCAAGACTCCCATAGGCATATCTGTCTCTTGAGTACCCTCTACCCCACCTGCATATCCCAGTTCAACCAAAGACCCTTGGGTAGAGATACCTGGCATCATCTCTTGCATATGGCAAGGCACAACCAAAGCAGGTGGGTAGAAGCAGCGGCAGTACGCTGGGGCTAAGCAAGCATCAGTCAGTGTATGTCCTTGTCGACCAGCAGTTCTGATTTTCCTTCAGTTGAGTGGTTTTGTAGGATGTCAGACCTTCAGTGGTATAACTGGGGCAGTATGGGCAATCCAGGGTGAGTTGGCGATTCTAGTCCTAACCTTGTTAACTAGCCTAGTCAGGGGCTTTATATTTAGAGTACCTCTTTATTGTGAATTGGTTTTAGTTCTTAATTCTTTATTCTTTATTAATTTAATTCTTAATTCTTTCGTTTTTTCCCCCCCTTCCTTTCTTCCTCTTTTCTTTCCTGCTTTGTGTCTATCTCTCTTCCCCCCTTTCTATCTGTCTTTTTTCTTCTTTCTGTCCTTCCTTCTTTGTTTTCTTTCTATTTCCCTCCCTCCCTCCCTTCCTTCCCTTCTTCCACCCTTTCAATTCCTCTTGCTCCTCTTCCTATGCTTTCTCTTCAGTCTTATTTTTCTTCTAAATATTGCGCCTGTCCACCAATCTGATGTACAAAATATCAGAGTGACTGGTTAAAACCATCAATTGTCAATGATATCTTGAATATGCCCACCATATGTCATAGATCTAAATGTGTTGGGGACAATTTCTACCTACCAGATCTGCATCTCTATGCCTAAGGGCTATCTTCATGCAACAGCAGAATGTCATTTCTTTCACACTGAAAGAAATGCTCAACCAATGATTCTGGAGAGTTGGTTTATAAGACTCCAACTCTCTTGCTGCTATTAGGAGAATCCCAATATGTGTGTGTTATGTCATCTCTGATATATTTCTCAGGTTTAAGGTTCACTTGCAAACTGTGACACTGGCCTAAAGTGCCCCCTCCCTGTGTCACTTCCCCACACACCTACCAGTGTGATCTGACCTCCCCAGAGTAGGTTCCTGGAGAAACCCAACTCTGATATTACTTTACCCTTCTCAGTCCTGATTTCCTCATCTCCACAATGGGCAACTTAATACCTATGTTGAAAATTTCTTCAAGAACTAAAGATAATGTACATGAAGGATTTGCTCAATACCTAGCAAGTAGTAGGGACTAGTTCATGTCAGTTCTTCATCTCATCACCCAATCATCTAGATCTTAAGAAGCAGTATTAGGTTCATGTGGTCTTGGCAGTCTCTTCAGAGAACTGCAGATATGTAGTCTCCAATGCTGGTGTGTGTCCTGGACATGAGCCTTCACAGTTCATCCAAGATTTCTCCACTGCTCCCAGGAAGTGGCCCAGGGTCTTGTATACCTAAGTCTCAGAGCCTGAATCCAGCCTCACATCCCTAAGTGATGAGGTAGCACCATTATTTCAGGACCAGACGTGCCAACTTTCTGTCTATGACAACTTCTATGAATGCCCACATTGTGTTTTTTTCCTTCCTCCTCACATTCTTCTCACCTTCCTGGGACACACTCTTAATCCCTCTCGAATCCTTCATAGTTCCCTCACAGAATATAGGAGGTTGTTTAGTTTCTTGGATGGTTCAGAAAATCATACACAAAAATCATACATGCTCACTGCACAGTCTCTGAGTCTTTAACTTTGTCTTAACTTTCTTAAAAAATTAAAAAAACATTTATTCATTTTTGAGAGGGGGGCAGAGAGAGGGGGACAGAGGATCTGAAGTGGGCTCTACACTGGCCAACAGCAAGTCTGATTCAGGGCTCAAACTCACACACCATGAGATCATAACCTGAGCCGAAGTTGGACGTTCAACTGACTGAGCCATCCAAGTGACCCTTTCTTAAATTTCTTAATAGCATTTTGGTCAGGATGACAAATGACCATAACATTAGGGGAGTGCAATATATGGCCCATTTATTTTATTGCAGAGAATTATTTATTTTCTCACTCTGTTGGTAGATGTTTAGTAGAAGGAGGCTATTCTGAATTAGATTTGCACAACATAAAGATAGTGGTCAGTTTGAATGAGACTCTATTGTGAGGACACAATGGATGCTAGTAACATTTCATAGGGACAAACTGCATGTATGGCTGAACATATGGAGAGAGGAGAGGCTACCTGCTTTCTCAAGAGCTCCAAAATGTGGTCCTACCTGTCTTCACATGTATCTGCGGCTTGCTGAGTTGTGTGAAACTGATTTTTGAACAGATGTTATCTGCATATATGAGGGATTATTTCTTCCATTGTTAAAGGAGAAATTCATTTGCACAGTTTACTAGTCCTCAGTACTAAATATTATTGTTACTTTTTAAAAGTAGTTGCCTTTCAACAGCAACAAAATATCCAGTCCTGAATCTGAGTCTGTCCGTTATTAGCTATATGAAATTACACAGTGAAATATTCTCACCTAAAAATGGGGAAAACAATTCATGATAGACTGTTGTGTAGCTCAGGTCTGACGATACATACGGTACCCAACATGTATATAAGTTCTGATATGGTACAGTGAAACAGAATACAATATGGGGAGAATTATGGTATATATTTTATTAAGAGGCATATAAGGCATGTAAAACACTTGCATCTAAGGAGACAACTCAAATGATCATAAAAAGATGAAAGTAGGATAAATAATCATAAGTACATTGAAAATATGATTATGAAGTTTATTAATCTGTTTCAGAAATCTATGAAAAACTCATGAAAACTTGTTTTCTTAAGTTACTTTGAGGGAGCGGGTGATACTGACTTCAGAACCAAAGCCAAGACCATAACTTAATACCAAGAATTTATAAAGCTGGCACATGAGCCTCATACATGGGGAGAGGAATTGGAAGAAGTCCTCTGCACAGCACCAAACTGATTCACAGCTTATAAACATATATGAGAAACAAAAATGTTGCTGAGTGCATGCTGGCTTTCACCAAAATCTGGAAAGAAAATTTGGCTACCAAAGGCAAGCCAGTTAACAGGAGGGTGTTATGTGCAGATGGTGTTTGGCGAGGCAATCTGCATCCGGAAGGCTGGCGGCAGCTGGAGTCACAGCCCTGGGCCAGGCACCCAGGCAGGCAGCAGCAGGTGGCGTGGTAGCAGGTTCTTGTGCAGTACACGGGTGTACAGCAAACTGGCTGGCAGTATTTGGAGCCACAGCAGCTGGACTGGCAGCAGGTGGTCCTGGAGCAAGTAGGCTGGTGGGAAGGGGAGCAACATGAGTCGGTCATGGTGTCAGGTGTGGAGTGTGGGCTCCTGTCCAGAGGTGAGGTTTCCAGATTTTAATGCCTCCTCCTGTTCTGGGACATTCAGGAACAGGAGTCTCCAAATTTCAGATCAATGAACAGGACTTTTCTTCTTGTTTACATGGTTTGTGAGAGACAGAGACAGCATGAGTAAGGGAGGGGTAGAGAGAGAGTGAGAGAGAGAATCCCAAGCAGGCTTCACATGTCAGTGCAGAGCCTGACATGGGGCTCCAACTCACTGACCTGTGAGATCATGATCTGAGACACAACCAAGAGTCAGAGGCTTAATCGACTGAGCCATTCAGGTGTCCCTTATTTTAATATTCTTAAATTTATGAAGACTTGCTTTGTGTCCTAACATACCATCTGTCCTGGAGAATGTTCCATGTGCACTTGAGAAGAATGTGTGTTCTGCTGCTTTTGGATGGAATGTTCTGTATATGTCCGTTAACAACATCTGTTGTAACGTATTGTTTAAAGCCTATGATTTTCTGTTTGGATCTTCTATCCATTGGTACAAGTAGGGTATTAAAGATCCCATACTATTATTGTATTGCTGTATATTCGTCCCTTTAGGTATGTTAATATTCACTTTGTATTTTTAGGTGCTCCTATAATATAAACATTCTGATAGAGAAATAACATAAGCAATTCACCTGTTGGTATTTCTCCAACAAAAACATATAAATAAGTAAAAAAATAATAAATATATAATGCAATTGTAAATGGGATAGATTCCTTGATTTCTCTTTCTGCAGACTCATAATTGGTATAGAAATGAAATCAATTTCTGTGTGTTAATTTTATGTCCTGCAACTTGGCTGAATTCACATATTAGTTCTAGCAGTATTTTTGTGGGGTCTTTCGGGTTTTCCATGTAGAGTACCATGTCATCAGCAAAGAGTGAAAGTTTGAATTCTTCTTTGCCAATTCGTATGCCTTTTATTTCTGTTTGTTGTCTGACTGCTGAGGCTAGGACTTGCAACACTATGTTAAACAACAGTGGTGAGAGTGGACATCCCTGTCGTGTTCTTGACCTTAGAAGGAAAGCTCTCAGTTTTTCCCCATTGAAGATATTAGTTGTGGGCCTTTCATATATGGGCTTTTATGATGTTGAGCCATACTTCTTCTATCCCTACTTTCTTTTTTTTTTTTTTAATGTTTTATTTATTTCTAGGAGAGAGAGAGAGACAGCGTGAGCAGGGGA